CTCATAGTCAACTCACCCAAATTAATCGCTATCCAATCGCCAGATCCCTCGAGACCTTCGACCTTGGGAAGACCTAGCGCACTCGACCGACGTTTGTATTTCAGCTACGAATCGATTTGAAGAGAATGGAGATAGATACAAGTATTTTTGGCTGTACATCGATGAAATTTATGACGTTCCTGGGAGGGAAAAGCAGAAGCTACACAAATATCAGCATGGGTATTTTAGACTCCGAAGCATGAGCTAGGGGGGGGGCTTACTACTGAAGTACTAAAAGATAAACTTGTCAAGCATGACCTCAGTATTTCACCATATTCTGTGTTGGGGGTTACAACGTGATGCTGAATTGGTTCAAGTTCAAAGGTAATAGCACCGCTTTTCACACACTAAACAACTGACGGCGGTTGCCGAGCAGTTAAGGTAATCAATCCACCCGGAGGACGGGCATTGGACTCTCATTATCGCCGCTTGTCTTTCTTCGGCTAGTATGCATTGAATGCAGTCCGTTGATTGGAGCGGCTTTCCCTTCCTGCAAATTGTATCATTGTAGATATTTGATAGGAGGGAGGACAAAGTGAAGTTCTGTATTGGCATAAATTTCGACCATACCCTGTTGGTGAAGGAGCAAAATCGTCAGGAACTCAAACACAGACAGCCTCCGCTTATCTCCGATCGTGCACCCGGGGTTGTTTCAGGTTTTTGGTTAGAGAATGACAGATTTGTGGCAACAGAACAAGTAGCTCATAACGGTCTTTGGTTTGGTCAAATTAGCTAGCGCCAGTCTGATCCGCTTTACACATGTATTATATCTTATTGAAGCTTTAGCTTTCAGCCAAAAATAGGCCAACATTACAATTCCGGTACAAAAAGAGGTGAAAAAGTGGGACGTAAAACGTGAGTTAATTACTAAGCACACAAAGAACACTTTGTCGGTCAGTATCCGGGTACCAAAGAATTTCTGTATGCAGATATGCGCGACGGGATAAGTTAGTACTTAGAACGGGTGGAGGGGTGAGATTTGCATGCACACAGGTCCATGTGTAGAGGATGGGTGCAATCGGATAGGATATTGTCAGCAGACTTCAAGTACGCATCAATATGTGCATTATACATATTACCAATCAGAACAAATAACGGAACTTGAGAGACACAAGTGATGATAGCCGGCCAGTGGATCGTATTTTGTTAAGCGAAAGTCAATGCTCGCAAAACCCACCGCATAAAACATAGCACGTAAGAACATGTAAATCCGAATGGAAACAACTTCTAAATGATTTTCCAGTCTTCAACGAGCGTAAGTTGTGAGGCACTGCAAATAAATTTGATGTTGTCTGTGTGTCGTTACGAAACAATATTATAAGCGTATCATAGCAATCCACAGACCAAATGTGATCCTAAGAAATTTCTGACTTACAATTCGGTAGATGAGCCCGGCTGTGGAGCGCACATGCTTCGCAGAAGTCCCACTTCCGATGACCATAATCTCGGCCACATGATTCGGGGGAAGATGTAAAAATACCAAGTCCTGAATGTTTTCCTGTTTTAAAACTAAACGTAGTTCATTCAGTTCAAAACATTCTGAAAGTTGCACATCACTGTAAGTAACCCTGTACCTTTCGGAGTAACAAAATCGTATACAGCCGGAATCACTTGTGTGGTGTAGTCGAATTCGGGATTTTCTTCCCATTGCTGATCATGTGGAACATCGTACACTTCCACAACGTTGTTCTCCTCATTGTTAGGATCTGAAGGCTTCTGTGACGATGTCGAATAATTGCTTGCGTTTGTGCTGGAGGGCGACTGAATGGCACATGTCCACAGTGCACGTCCAAACTTGGGACAATTCGGTCGAGTACAACGCAACAGAGGCAACAGTCGGTAACTCACGACTGGCATGAAACTGACACAGATGTCGAAAATGGAAGCTGTAAGAGAGGATAAACTGGGAAGGCGTTTCGTGCGCGGATGGTAGCGACTATGAAAACATCCAAATCCAACAGTCATGGCATATACTAACCTTATTTTTATGCAGCTATGTCCTATGAGACGATGGGTCGGCTTTACGGATATCCTTGAATACAGCACCCCACACACAGCGGTCGGTGTCGAGATCAACGCAGAATGATATCCACATTTGGTTCCAATCTTAGGAGTCGTAGAGGGTTTGGAAGCCGAAACATTTCACGCGTGATTTCAAGGTGCTGATCCAGGTATTTAGCTGGCTGCGACGATGACAGTGCCGTTCGGGAGATGATATCGGTCCGAGGATTTGTTTCGTTCAATTGGAGGCCGGTCTACACAGTAGAGTACCGAACCATTGTAGGAGTCATC